CCTTCCTTCCTTCCTTCCTTCCTTCCTTCCTTCCTTCCTTCCTTCCTGCCTCTCTCTCTCTCTCTCGCTCTCTCTCTCTCTCTCTCTTTTTGTCTCTCTCTTTCTTTTTAGCTCTCTTTTGCTTATTATAATGCAACCAAACACCAGGTCACCCGGGTCGGACCAACGTCACTGCAAAGGGACTGCTGATACAGACAGCACCGAGAACCCACTGAAGCTGAGCAGCGGCACCCGTACTGTAGATGTCTTGAAACCCCCGCGACACGGCATGCGCCAAAACTGCCGTCTGACAGGTGCTGGTTTTGGGCTGTGGTCTCTCACCCTTGGTTTTCACTTTGGCGGATCGCCTGCCATTCGCCGCTCGGAGTGCGCAGTGGTATAGCGGTCAGGAGTGAGTACAAGGGTGAGGCGGGGTGTCAATCTGCTGCTGGAGTGAAGATAAAATTAATCAGTGTGCTGAATGTGGGGACCCGGAATTTCCTGATTTGTTCGGAACTTCTTCACCAAATCCTACGGTTTTCGGCTGGATCGAATTGAAGTGGAAGCATGAAGAAACCCTGGGTGAATCTTGAGAGTCTTAGCAAAATTAGCATATACTACTGTCTAATGACTTAGGCCAACGTGATGCAAGTGACATACCAATCTGGCTACCCCCAGGGCTAAGTCATGTGCCCTGACATATCGAGCAAAAAAAATGTCTGGGTTGGGAAACCTGGTGTCATAGGACCTGTGGACACCTCCTCGACAAAAAATGTAAAAAACAGCTAAATAATGCTAGATACCACTGCCTGGCACTCTGGTGACACAGTGGTGACATAGGGCGCGACTATGTGTTGCTTCCTTGAATACCTCATACATATTTCTATGAATATCATGGTTGTGGCCTGATGACATAGGCCTCAAGAGGAAATGCCAATGTTGGATCAATCCTGATGACATAGGCTTTTGGAATTGGCGTGTATGTCCGACAAGTCCTAAGTTACTAGTCAGTAGTATAGATGTTCGTCCCACCAAAATGGTTGTTTCGACATGTTTCGACAGCCCACCTTGTTCGCCTGTGAATCCTTTTCAAGCGATGTTCATGTTCTGGTTGAGAGACAACACCCATTGAATGAGTTTTACTTTTTGCTTCTTACGAGATGTACTGGAAGAGTTCTCCTGTGTTCTCCTCTCGGTCGGTTCAGGGTCTTGCATGTCTTTGCCTTCAATGTTCGAAGCACTCATGTTATGTTGGTTTCCACGCTTCCTACCGGAAAAAAAACAAAACATGTTTTGGAATTATATAGTGAGGTTCCCTGCAGTGAAGGTGGGGAAAGCTGAGGAAGAATTGGGGACAAGAAGAATTTAAAGACAATCTGTTTTAAGAAGTACAACCAAAGCACAAACGACGGTGTAGTTCTTTGTTGTTGATTTGTGTCTCCAAATCGCGAGGCGCCCATAAGAGACCTCCAGGAAACTAGAATGCATAGCTCATACATGTCGTTAAAGATCAAATCACTCAAAAAGCAACGGATTCACATGGATTCACCCTCAATATCGGGAGTGTATCATTGAGCATCAGATTTGCAGATCTCCTTTCAACGTGTCAACAATAGTTACTGTACAGGTCAAAAGGGCCAACCAATCTCAAGACATGAACGGGTAGTTCCCCCCCGAGCTCCTTCTTTCAGCTTGGGGCATCCCTCAGGTTCCTGCCTAATTCTTTCCACTATCTCCCAGTGATTTTCATTGATCTTCATGGTTTCCGAACTCTGTCCAAATTCTTCTTTCGAAGCACACGGCGGAGATCCACACGAAGCGAAGCGAAACCGGAGCCGTTCGGAAGCGTTCGGCCCAGGTGAAGACGGGATGTATGGAGTTGTCACCGACCTTACTGGAGAGCCTCGAGGCCCAGAGTCGGCATCGCACCGGGTGGACGCGTCCACCGCGTACCGCGACGTCGTCACGGTTTGGAACGCCGTGACCGGTCGCACGGCAAACCCAAACGCGGTGACGGGGGCGATCGAAGGGGAACGGAGGACAGCACGAAGACCGGCTAGGACAGCACGAAGGGAAGGAACAATTGGGAACGTTCATCCCACGTTTTGTCCCGTGCAAAACGCTTTGCGCGAAGCTGGAACTTATGGGATGGATTTGACAGAAACAAATCTGATTGCGACAGTTTTGAACTGAAGGACATCTACTGTGCAAGCACAACATCTTATGCATTTTGGTAGATCTCAGTGGTGGGACCCCAGAACAGATACCTGTGCCATCCTGTGCCTTTAGGAGCTAGACTTGAAATACTTGCAGCAACCATTTCCATCCCTTTCAAGTCATGAGTCATGAGAGCCACATACATCAACACACCTTGTACAAACTACAGTTCACGGAAGGCTTGGCCACCACATCAACCACCACCCTTATCCCACAATCTGACATGACATACTTATTTATACCTATAGGTATTCCCCTTTCTGTCACAATGCCATGCACCACAAATGCATACCTTCCAGAGGTTCTGGGCCCGGGCCCGCCACACCCCCGCGACCACGACCGAGGCCATGGCATGGTCATTGCCGCGGCGGCCCCAGTTCTTCGTGCAGGCGGACATTACGGTGCCTTGGCCCACACGTACCGATGCCACACTGAAACAGAGGACGGAGCGGCCGTGCGTTGTGCAGACGTCGCCGGTAGCGTGACGGAGAAGGCAGCAAGCGATTCGGGTGATCGTCGTCTGAGATGGACGTGTAGGACCAAAAGGATGGAAGATCGTGAAAGGAACGTGGAGTTGCGCCATGTGTTTTTCTTGTTCGGTCGTCATGGTAGGCCAGGAAAGGCCCTCTGGCGGTGGTGGGGGCAACTCAATTCGATCTTGCTAAGCCATGCACCTTGTCCTCAGCAATCTGCTGGAATATGCTAGAATCAGCTGAAGCCAACGGCTTCTTCTGTTGACTGAACCGAGGACCTGCGACGAAGACGTGGTCGAGATCACCAGGCGCTGCGTGGGTGACTAGGAGTCCGGAACTTCACTTTGTGTTCACTTATTCTCAGGAACTGGGGCGCTCTGGTGATGAGAAGGGCCTCAAAAACACTTTAAACATAAAAGAACACATCAAAACCTAATAGTCTCGCCATGTCTCGCCACTGAAAAAGCCCACCAACGATGCGCAGCTGCATCGTTGCGGATGAAGAACTAGACCGACTCCTCCATCCGATTTCGGTGACCGGACGATTCGCTCCGATTCGGAACGAAGCATTCGCAGAAGGAGCGAAGCATCGCAGATTTGAAGGGACATGGTCGGACAAATCGGCTTTTTTTCTCCAGAAATCCATGGTATTTGGATGAGTTTTGGATGTGAACATTGGATGAGGAGGCGGTTTCCTGTCGTCGTTTCCTGCGAAAATTGTTCATCCATTTTCAGATCTTTAGACCGATCCAATGAAGCTGATGGAACTGCTTGGGATCAGCCATTTGTAAACGTGGCAGTGCTTTTTGGAAGACATCCACCTGGCAGACGTGGCAGAAAGAATGTCTGGTCCTTTCCGACTGGAAGTTCAAACAATCAGAGACAGCCAGCAGTCACGAAAGAATGTCTGGTCCTTTCCGACTGGAAGTTCAAACAATCAGAGACAGCCAGCAGTCACGTTCGACGGGGTGTAATCCATGGAGGAAATCGGGGTGCCCGAACGTCACAGACACTCACTGGATGGGACTAAAGACCACCCCGTCTTGTGACTCCTGGAATTTGGTTGTTGCAACATGGAAGTCATGGAAATCCTTTCTGGCTTTACATGTGGCATGCATGATTGATTGGCACGGAGAACCTTTGAACCTTGCTGCTTCACGGAACCTCCTTGGACTCGACTGCTTCTGAGTTCCCAAACATCTTCAACCATCGGCCATCATGCGCCGACCCCAGATCCGGGGACACCCCTGAGATCTGAACCGAGATGCCTGTGCTATCCTCTGGTCCGACACCTTCTCCCGAACGAAGTCTCCCCCGTCGTACCGCGGGCACCGTGGCGATGGTCGAACAAAACCTCATCGTGCGAGTCCTTCGGTTTCTCCGGAGAATCGAACGTGAGTCCGCACGGTGACAGGTGCTAAGTCCGGGGTCCTTTGACGTGCTGGTGGACGAGAATGTCCTGGATGGTTTGGCCATTGGGCTGAATTGGACTGTGAGATGCGGGAAGTGCAGAGAGAAATATAGCTGCACTATATAGCGTTATCTTCAACAAGTGAAGAAGTGGAGTTCGGTCAACTGCCCCGAGAGTTTTTACAAATGAAGGGACATGATAAATCTGTTCACTGGATCACTGGCTTGTGAGGAGGGACCCCAAAAGTGCCGATGTGACTTTGAGAGTTACTCATGTGAGCATTTCTAGCCTCCTGATCCCAACAATTTCTTGGAAACCGCCTCAAAGCGACGGCCCGCCGTCCGCCGTCCGTGGCGACCGCGCAGCGTGGCGACCGCGGTCAAGGCGTGTCGCTTCCCTGCGCAGCGAGGCCTTGAGTCCCTGCGCGAGGCGCGCGGGACGTCGGTGGATTCGTTTCAGACTTGGTCTCCGTCCTTTTGAGGGGGGTTCCAATGAGGTTGTTCAAAGGGTTTATACAGGTTGTTCAAAGGGGTGAAAGAAGGATTAAACCAGTGGAGCCCAAAGACATGTTGTTGTTTTTTTCGTTGACTTGAACATCTTGAAGTGGGATTTCTCATGGCTACCTCATTGGTTAAAACTCTTGAGCTTAAATCAGGATAGACATGGCGGATTTGTTTTATTGCCGCTGAGACCTGGTTGTACCAGGTGAGACGTGTTATGGGCATCGCCCGACGTCCAGACGTGCTTTGCTTGCACTTTGGCAAGCTGGCGAAACTTCCCGGCAAACAAGAACTTGTGGCCGTGGCTCATCCTAACATGTCACAACCAGTGTCACAACCCTAATCAGCAGTTGCTTCCGCAAAGAGGTCAATTTCGCATGGCATGTTCATGCGCACAAGTTCTCATGAGACCCGTCTTGCGCTGTCGGAGCCTGTAGGCCCTGCGCGGCATCGCATGGCTATTGAAGCCTGGAACTGGCCGCTTGCTCACGTTCGAGGGCCCAGAGACCGCCAGACCATTCCGGAGCTTTGTATTGGAAGGAAATCTCGTGAGTAGATATGCGCTTTTGGCTTGAGGTCTCTGCAGATCTTAGGGGTGGATAGATCGACTTGACTGGACCTCACTGTTTTGAGCCCGCGAAAAATTCGTGCTGGATCAGCTTTTGCGGCTGGTCTCTTTGTAATTTTTCACAGGAGCCGTTAGATCCGTTAGAAGGTAGAGGTTGAACGACCCTCTGAGCAGTTATTTCTTTCAAAGGTGCATTGTCCTGTGATTGATCGAAGAAGAGGTGAACAAAGCTAAGGGTCTGGGAGGTTTGTTTCCTGTCAGGCAGCCCATCTATTTTATAAATAGTTCCAGATGTAGTCTGGGGGGTATGTGATGAGCCTGACAGTTAAAGTGGCCCACCCAGACCCTAAAGATCCCTAAAGTACATTGAAGTTATAAAATAGTAAGTTATGAGTTTGATGTCAGGCAATCACGGGGTAGGTCAAAATGTGTGTATTTGTGTCTGATTTTTGTTGGTTTTGTTGTATTCTGTTGTCTTTGGGATAGAACATTTTGGCAAGAGGGTAACCGATCCAAGGCGTACTTTGCAACGGGAGATACTGGGAGCATGGAAACACCATGAAACACCTAAATAAATTGTTGGTCTTGAAACCATCTCAACTTCCACTGGATGGTTGTTCATGTGTCTCCGAATGAGGTGATGACAAACAGGATAGTTGTAGCAACTTCATGATGTTGAGCTTGTGGTGTGATGTGGTTGTGTAGTGTTGAAAAGGACTTGTAATCTCTGTGCTGGTAGTTTGGGAGCTTATACAAACTGATGATATCTGATTATGTTTATGCGCGCTTACATAGAGTTTGAATTTGATAGATCAACACACTCGACAGCCCCCCATGCAAATCCAATCGAAGCCAAGATTCATTGGACTCGATCTGGATTGGCTCTTCTTATGTGTGGCTAGTTTTACCATTCGTGCTTAGCGGGGGGGCGAAGGGTTGTTTTCTGCTGTGCCATTGGGAAGCCTTCATTGCAGGGACTTTGCTGGGTTTCATTTGCACAACCGACCATCGCCCAACCCAATCGATTTAGGGAGGTCCATTTCTGCATGTGCAATACCGAAGACCGCAGCAGATGGCAAACTTGTGTGGCACACTAAAGCTCTGAGCAGCCCATCATATCGATTAATGTGGCTGTGGGTCCAGAAACCAAATCAACAAAAACACATCAGTGGTCAGTGATGGTCAAAAGCCTTGCACCTCCAACTTTTACAGGATACGATGTTTTCTATATTCATACGTCATACCAGTAGTGGAGCCGCCGGTCAGTGAGTTCCCCGCTTCCCACGCTTCCCATGCCATGCCGAAAACGGTTTGGGGGGTGCGACGCATGAAACACTCAGTTGGACCAGTCAGTTGGACCACTCCATGGACTAAGGATCTCCCGGAGATCCACCTTGGTCGTAGACTTGCGATAGACCTGAAACTCAACAGTTCGTCGTTTTTTTTTTGATCTTATAATTAGAAGGCATCAAAGCTTTTTGTTAGGGACGTTTCTACATGTTTACTTAAATTGGCACCCTGAGTTTAGTAGGTTTGCCATGTTCTGTTCATTTCAGTTCTGTTTTTATTACTCGTCCCCCTTTGCTCGACGCCGTCATTCTACCTGAGGATCTCCTTTGCACCCCTGACGGTCGAGCCGCACAGGGAAGCCTTTGATGACTGGGCGGCCTGGCACATGGGAGAGACTCATGCGTCGCGTGCGTGAATCAGTGAAGTAGAGCACCAGTTGGGATTTGGCCTACTAATTAATTATATGTTGCTTACTGACGAGTGGAGGAGAAACTCTACAATTCAATCGATGGACGAAAAATTTGCGACTCACTCACCAAGAGGCAATATGGTATTGAAACCACGCATGTTTAGAAGTCCAAAGACTATTTTTGGGACCACCTAGACTCGGGGTGTTACAGGGCCGTTTCTTAAGAGTGGACCGGACTCACAGGGTATATCAATTCTTGTAAAACCACATGCATGTATATCAATTCCGTGTGTATATTTGTTACATATTAGTATATTCTATCAATTCTTTCAACCATGGTTTTGGTCCCCCTTCCTTGGGACAGTCCTGACAAGCGGCTGGTTTACAACACACGGACAAAACTATCGAGAGGCAATGGCCAGATTGAGCTCAAAGGGCTTCCCACTTGACTTGTCACTATAATAGACATTCTATCTTTGGGGTGTGGATGTGAGTTGGATGGATATATGACAAACCGGGGTCGGACCCCCTACAAGCACCGATGAGAAGGGACTAAAAACATGAAACAATTGACTGACACCGAGTGGGAGGTGTGCACCATTTCCACGCCACGTATCCGTCTCCAAGGTGCTGCTGCCGCCGTGCGCGCTTCAACGTGAGACGATTCATGTGGCAACATGGGCACCCAAGGGTGCCAGAGAAAATGCTGCGGCTCGAGAGACGTATGCAGTTTCACCTTGCGCCCACCCACCACGAATTCTTCGGTTGTTTTTTGGCCGTTTCGGTAGTTTCTCCATGTTTCTCCATGGGATCCAGGTACACCATCTGAGAAATCACTCTCTCCTTTTCAGGAGGCGTTGAACTTCCTGGATGCGGATCCCTTGTGGCTCTTCGGCATCGCAGCCGGGAGAGCCCAGAGAACCAGAGGTTTTTCCGGTCCAAGTGGCGAAGGGCGCAGCTTGGTGCACCGGGGGAGTGGCAGAATCTTTCTTTTCAACTGTGTGTGCTCACATGTGCTGACAGACTGTGGATTGGGGAGTTTGGAAGATGCTTCCTAGAGTCGTAGAAGAAAAACCTCCCAAAAAGATCCCCTGCAAGATGGGAACTAATTAGACCAAAGCCCATTTGTTTCGGGTCTCCCTACTACAATACACACAAAATACATCAAAAGGCACACAAAATCCAAATCTGAAGCCGCGATGAAGACTGCCTCACCGCGATGAATGCGACGTTGCCCAGGATCCCGCTACACAGCGGGCGTTAGAGAAGACTGCAGTGGTTTGGATGGCCCAGTGGTTTGGTTTGGTGTAGAGGCATTTGAACCTGCCAAGTGTGCGTTCTTGATGTTACCAGATGGGACCCCTACAATTTGACCATTGACATCGGGAGCAGGGTAACTTTGTGTTTGTGGTGTTTAAAACCAACTTTCTTACATCTCTGAATTGCTTTGCCGGCCAGTGCTTGACCATGCTTGACCTACGGAAGGGTAAAGGCTTCATCAGCTTGTCCCTGGAATAGAATAGACCAAGCAGCGAAAATGGGACTTCATGCAGATTGACAGGGATATCATGGGGTATCTCGAAAATGGTATGAAGCTCTCCTGAAATCAGCTGAGTATTTGTTCTCACAGAATGCCCAAAAGCTGGGTGGAGACACGGTGAAGCACGGTGGAGACATGGTGAGACCCATGGATGGTCCACCGTTTTTCTCCTTTCTTGAAGGTCACGGCTGGGTATCATGTACCATCATGTACCTATCCAAAATATTGCCCTTTTCCGACCAAAAAGAAGGTCAAATGGGTTCTATGATGTAATCATGATGTAATCATGTGTTTGATTTGCTTCACGAACTCGTGACGAACCTCGTGGAGGGTCGAGTGGCGCTATATATTTTTGTTTTCTCTGGCTCGATCCATTGGAACTGGTGGCTGGATCCATAGCTGGCAGAGTTGGATGCTGACACTCTGTGCCGATACGCCGATACTCTTCAAGAGTCTTGAGTCAACATTTGCCAGACCTATCTGGAGCGGGTTGATCGATGACTCTCAACTCTTGCCGCTCCATCCTTCGTCGATGATCACATCAGCCACCACAAGGCTCTTCCTCGGCTGAATCAGGAAACCGGGTGAAGATCAGCAGCCATTGATACACTTCTATGTCATCCTATGTCCATTTTTGCTAGTCCGTGGAACCTTGTCATGTGTTTGTTTGCCTCATTGACAGCATGGACCACTAAGGTGCCCATGCTGAGATGTATGGGGCAACGGCCCTGCATCGAAGAGTGGTTCTCGCACGGGCGCCCAGGGTGTCCACCGAAGGACAAACACCTTTTGGGACCCCCACCACACCCTGGCTCTCTAGACCCACACCCTGGTATTTGAACATACATGTTTTGGGCTATAATTAGGTCTGGGGTGTTGTCTCTTGAAAGGTTTTGCATCCGCAGGAGTTGCTCCAAACGTGCGTATTTCCTTGGCTTTTTTTGTGGGACTCGATCTCAGGGCGATTATTTGAATGTGGCAAGAAGAGAAGGTATCCTCTAGCTATTGACCAGTCTGACTCCTGACATTCATCTTAAAGATGTTCTTTCATGTTCTGACTCTTCTCCAAGGTTGTCCTCCCAGGGTAGCATCACTCTGGACAATAAAGAATGAAACCATATGAAACCCCACTGAGGCAGGCGTCACGGGAATGGTTTGGTGTTACACTCCACA